GTGTCTGACAGTGAAAATATGTGTTGTTTAAACAGTGTGTGCCAATAACTGTATGTGTGTGGCAATGACTGTGTATCTGTCAGTGAGTGTATATCAGTGCATGTATCAATGAGGGCATGTGTCTGTCAGTCAAAAAAAATGGCCTTGACACAAATTGGGGGGGCAAATTTAGACTTTGAGGGTGCCCGAATTTAGTCATGCCTAGGGCAGCACAAATCCAAAATACACCTCTGCCTGTACCTGATGGATAGGCAGCCTTTTCAACCACCACGGATCTGATTGTGCCACTCCCCCCCTGCAAGGTAAGATGAGGGAGAGGGTAATTTTAAAAACAAAAACATTAAACAATTATTAAAGTAAAAATTGTAAAGCCCTTTCCTATCCCACTCTCTACACCCCCTGAACACAGTACACCCTCATGGACAGTGAACCCCTCACATACCGTACACTCCCACCAACACAGAGAACACCTTTGTATACACACACAGTGCACCCCTAACACACATCATTTTTTCCCCACATACATACATACATGCTCCACCCCATTACACACCATGCTAAAATAAATCACGGATACAGCATGAACTAATGAAAAAAAATGGCACACTGGATTCATTGCACTACTACCCGTTTCCTAGTGACATGGTTAAAATCGGACTAACTGATGGGCTCAACACAATGGGCCCCCCTTTACTCCATCCCTTCTTTTTCTACCCCCGTGCACAGTTCTATTAGTTATTACCCTCAATATATTTACAAGGTATGCATGACTGATCATACCATGTAACTCTACAGAAATGTTTTTTATCTTTGAAATTCATGCCTTAATTAGTACTTAATCAAAATGTTCAATACGCATTAAAAATTGCAACAAAAAAAACAAAATGTAGGCAGTGTACACTTGTAAATTAAACTTCAACTACAAACTATGTATATTACTAATTTTAGAAGCATGCAATTTCCAAGGCACTTACGAGAAAAAAAAAAAAAGAATCACTATTTAGTAAAACAATTCTAAATCAGGAAGTAGCAGTTAATCAAGAGGAGCTTTTTATTTTAATTATTATTTAAAAAAAAAATCAATTTTTTTTTTTTTTTAATTCATTGGATGAAGCATGCAGGTGCTTCAATGGCCGTGAGAGGGGATGCCCACCTGCCACGTCAAGGAAAACCTCTTAGGTTGGTCCTACACTGACTATTCACCTTTCTTCCTTGAGCTTCTGGCTAAGACATCTCAAATGAGACAGAGAGGAATACTTTTATAAACCCCTACATGTTTATTAACCCTTAATAGGGAACACATGGGGTGGGCGGCAGCTGTGTAACATAGTTGTCTGATACAAAAGTGAATACAAATACAAAAAAACAAGTCCTGCTCTCAGACTCACACTACTCTTGGGCAGCAGCAACGACCATAGTATAAATCAGCCCCAATATATACAATAAAAAACTAATTTAAAAAGTTACTTGCGCTCTTCCCAAATCCCTATGCATATTTAAACAAATGGAGGTTATTTAGTTACTCCAATGGCCATGAGAGGGGATTCCAACCTGCCATGTCAAGGCAAATCTCTTAGGTGGACTGAAGCTACTCTCACACAAGAATCAATGACTCACTTCAATACAGGCACAGCACGGGTAAACAATCCAGATTACTTCTGGTCTGCCTCCTTTAATAGCTAAAGACAAAGTGTCTAGAAGAATCCTACTTGAAAGTATAGATGATTTTTTATTGACCCCCATTTTTCCCTCTACTGGTAATCTCACTTTATTTGTAAATACAATCAATGTTTAGTGGCTGCTCCCTAACCATCAATCATCTTTTTTTGTAGTTTTTTTTCTTTTTGCTACCTCTTGGTTGGACAGATGACTCCATCCAGATGATTGTGCAGATCTCTTGCCATCAAGAAAACTAAGCTGTTTATTTGCACCTATCGAAAAAAAAAGAAAACATATATAGCTTCTCCTCCATTCCATCCATCTTTTTTTCTGATGTCAGAAAAGGCACTCCAAATTATAAATGAAAATGAGCATGTTCAGGCTTGCGTGAGTCTTGTCACCTGAGATTCTGCCACATGACATTTTTGAAATAGGACATTTACCAACCACCCAATCAGCTGAATTGCAGTTCACTCTGAAACAAATCTCCAAGTCTAATAAACTGAAGAATTTAACCCTTTTTTAACCTAATATGTATTCATCTTTTAAACTCTTTCAAGCTGAGTTCCTGTAATATTTTGCAGTTCTCATCTATTCTTAAATTCCCCCTTTCATGAAATTATAAAGCACTGCAGAATATGTTGGCACTGTATAAATATGAATAATAATAATAATGATAATAATTGAAGGTCAATATATATGTCCACAATTATGTATCATATTGAACTGTGATTTTGAACTGTGCTGGGTGTATATCTGTGTGATAGATTCTTTTTTCTACATATTGCCATAAGATTTAAAGGTGTATTGTGAAAGTAAATGACACATGCACATTACTTATATAAACATTTAAATATTTTTCAAATTCATGTGCATGCCCAATTGCATTCTTTTTATCGATGACTGGTATGCTTTGACTTTTGTTTAAGTGTTTAAATATAATGACATACTTTCTTTATACCATGTATTTTTCCTTTAAGATCTATAGTTTGCAGATTTGAACTTAAATTGTTCTCAAGTTATAGTTACTGACTCTTTTTCTGCTAATGCTATCTCACCAAAATTAAAACCTCTTTCAGCTAGGTGTTTCAGGTTTTTATTTTGTGAGATTGTGTCAGTAGAAAAAGAGTCAGTAACTATCAAAACATTTCCAATTATTTATTATTTTCTGTGAGAGATGCTAAAACTCTTACGATACTTGGAAATTCCGAGGCTTGATTGATTAGTTTTTCTATTGTGAAAACAAATGTTACTCACTCACAAGAGTAAAAATCAGCTTAGCTTGTATATAAAAGTTAATAACAATATTTAACATTAACTAACTGAATACTGAGTTATTTTACATATAGCTACTCTTGCAATAATTACAAGTTAACTTGCAATTACAAATAAAACAACCTGTACCAAAACTCCTGAAATTAAGTAATAACATTGTCACAACTGCACTTACCTGTGACTCCTCCGCTGCATCTCTGCCCACGGCTAAAGCAGTCTCCTCTCAGTGCGCGTTTTTTCCTTTGTTACTTCACCTTGGCTGATTCCTGCCTCCTGGACTCCTCCCATCAAATACATGAAAGACGTAACAAACATATAAATACATTTTATATTGTCTATTAATTTTCACTCCAAAAGAGAGTTTTACATCATAGTCGATGTTTTAGAAGCCATTCTTTATCCTTACACAGGTGAAATGCCAAAACACAAAAATGATTATAAATTGTATATAATATAAATTGTGTTATAAATTCACTCAATATAAGATGGACATCTGTAAGGATTATTGGTAGACCCTTAGGTTTGCAATGAATAGGGCAGATCATGACTGTTCACTACTTACAGTGGCAAAAAAAAAAGTATGTGAACCCTTTGGAATTAGTTGGGTTTCTGCATGTATTAGTCATAAAATATAATCTCATCTTCATCAATGCCACAAATATGGTCAAACACAATGTGCTTCCACTAACAACATACAAACAATCATAAACTTTCAAGTCTTTATTGAACATATTTTGTTAAACATGCACAGTGCTGTGCTGTGAATACTTGAAGTTAATAGCTAGTTTATTCTCCTTTCGCAGCAATAACCTCAACCAAGTGTTTCCAGTAGCTGCATATTAGACCTGCACAACAGTCGGGAGGGATTTTTGATATTTTTTCCTTATAGAACCGCTTCATCTCAGCCATATGCTTAGGATATCTGGTGTGAACAGCTCTTTTGAGTTCATTCCACAACATCTCCATGGAGTCTGATTGTGCAACTCCAAAAGGCAGATTTAGTTTTTTTAAATTCAGTCTGTCATGGATTTACTTGTTTGGGATCATTTTCCTGCTGCATCACCCACCTCCACTAAGCTTTTGATGGCACACAGCCACCCTGGTATTATGCTGTAGGATATATTGATAAATTAAATTTTTCCCTAGATAACAGCCAGTGGTCCAGGATCTTTGCAGTAAAGCAACCCTAAATCATGAAGCTCCTCCACCATATTGAACCACTGTGATGATGTTTTTCATATTGGATTGTGGTGCCCTTTTGATCCCATACATAGTACTACTTATTCCTCTCAAACACCTTAACCTCAGTTTCATTAGTCAACAAAACATATTCCCAGTAGTACTGTGGAGTGCCAGGATTGTCTTTGGCAAACATCAGGCATGCAACAGTTTTGTTTGGAAAGCTGTACTTTTTTCTTCATGGTGTTCTGCCATGGACACCATTCCTGTTCATTGTTTTCTATATAGTAAACAGAGACAGAGATATTAACTATAGTTGAGCAAACCCGAACTGAAAAGTTCGACATTAGGTTTTTTGGATCCCGAACCCGAACATGTACATATACCTGTATGTTCGGCTTGGAGTTCAGGGTTCGGCAATTTAATGACGCGTTTTGAAAGGCCGCAGGGAAGCCAATCGACAAGCGTTTGACTCGTGTGCCCTTAGAAGCCATCACAGCCATGCCTACTAATGGCATGGTACTAATGGCATGGCTGTGATTGGCCAGTGCAGCAAGTGACCCAGCCTCTATAGAAGCTGGTCACTTAGTATTAGTAAATTATTCCCCTACTCGCTATCCTGCGAGTAGGGGCGTGTCTATTAAACAGTGAGCAGCCTGTGGCTGCTCATTGTTAAAAAAAAAAAAAACGTTCCCCCCTCCTGGGCCCCTGGGCTTTTAAACTAAAGGGGACCTATTTTTCCCTTCCCCGGCCCCCACCCATGAACGGTGAGTGGGAACCCTAAATAACAATAAGGGGGGACCTATTGTCCTCCCCCTGGCCCCTACCCCTGAGCGGTGGGTGGGGGCCCTAAATAACAATAAGGGGGGGACCTATTGTCCTTCCCCCGGCCCCCACCAATGAGCGGTAGGTGGGGGCAATAAATAAAAATTGGGGGGACCTAATGTGGGGGGGACATTAGGTCTCCCCCAATTTTTATTTATGGCCCCCATCCACCGCTCAGGGGTGGTAGCAGGGGGAGGACATTAGGTCCCCCCCTTATTGTTATTTAGGGGCCCCACCCACCTCGTAGATAGCTCCATAATACCGTGTGAATTAGGGAGTTTTCTACTAAGCGGCTGCTTATTTTATGTTATTTTTAAGTTATTTCCCTATCCACATTTGTTTGCAGGGCACTTGTCCTACTCTTACCCCCATTTTACTTCCTTTTGCAGCCCTCTAGCCCTTTCCAGGAGTTTTTAGAGCCATTTGTGTGGCCAAAAGTTCGGGTCCCCATTGACTTCAATGGGGTTCGTGTTCGGGGTCAAGTCTGGGGTCAAGTTCGAGCCCGAACCTGGACTTTTTTTCAAAGCTTGGCCGAACCCGCCGGACTCGAACATCCAGGTGTTATATATATATATATATATCAACTCTAATATTAACCAGTTGTTATCCAGTGGTCTCTTCAAGCCTTCTTTATTTGTTTACCTTATTGAGAATTGCGGTGTTGCATTTGAGTCATCCTGGCTTGACGGCCACTTCTAGGGTGAGTAATCACGGTACTAAATCTTCTTCATTTATAAACACTTTGGCTAATAGTGGACAGATGAATATTCTAGCTCTTTGAGATTATATTGTAACCATTTCCAGCTTTATGCAATGCAAACAATTCTTGAATGCAGGTCTTCTGAGAGGTATGGTCGCATAAACAGATGCATTTCGTTATTAGCAAATTCAAAATGTTTGAGTGCATTTTATAAGTCAGAGTAGCTAGGCAACATTCGGCACTCCAGATGGGGAGTACATCTTCTATGATGCTTTGCCAGCATTAGCGCAGTAAGAGCACTCCGGGAGATGTAGTCAAATCTGTAGTGTCTATCCCTGGCTTAGGGTTTCACATACTTTTTCCAACCTGCAATGTGAAGATATGAATGATGTATTCATGTGTACCAGAACAATGCAATGAATTGTGAGTTGTTAGTTAAACAGATTGTATTTGGTGATTACTGTAACTTAGATGAACATCAAATCAGATGTTTTTTCTTTCAATTATAGTTTATTGAGTTTATAAGTCAAAGTTGAGATTAGGGTACAGAAAGTAGAGGGTGTGTGACATTTGTACATCAAAGGGGTGAGTACATCGAGATAACAGACATATCATAGAAAACATGCTATCTTCTCTCTTTATCCATATTCTCCTCCCCTAAAGCTGAAATATCCTTAACCTAATACAGTGGTTGCTCATCTATTCTCAGCATTCTTTCCCCAGTTCCTTCTTGTGGGGTAGATGTGGAAGCTCTGCTACTGTTGTACATCTTTTGTATAGTCCCTTCCCTGTATGTGTGGTATTACTCCTGCCCCTCGTATCGAAGAAAAACATTCAGCAACTTAAGTCACCCTGCCCCTGGAGAGTCAGACTGACTGTCTCAACTCCCAGTTATGATGCCTGGTGCTGGGTAGTGGAAGCGACCATCTCCACTCCCAGTGATGCTGGTTGCTGCAGGGATGAGAGACCGACAATCTCCTCTCCCTGTGATGCTGACTGCTTCTGGGGAGAGAGACTGGTTGTTTCTCCTCCCTTTTCAACACACTGCCGCTGGGGATCTTGGCCGGCTGCCCAGCATCCCTGTAGGGCCAGTAGAGAGACCTCGGTCCCATCTCCACCTGCCATCTGTGGGTCTTCCCAGGACCAGTCTATGAGGTCCCCCTCTTCGGTAGCTGGTAGGGAAGCAGGGGGTAACTCAGCCAGGTCTTCCAAGCCGTAGGGTGGCAGATCTGGTTCTACTTGTCGGGTAGATTGGGGCCGAATTGATCTGAAGAAGTATTGGTAGTTCTGCTCCAGTTCCCACTCACTACTAACCAGGTAGGTGAGTTCCCGTCCCAGTTCCACAGCTCCTGGGAAAGACAGCATCTTTTTCCGCTAAAACTAAATAGCCTGGAACCGTGACTCCTCTGGACTTCCAAAGTCATCGTCCTCCTCCATGGCCTTTACCAACAGGTCGGGCCCATCATAGCCTTCCACCTCTGGTGGAACGTCATCTGTCACCCAAGTGTCTCGCTGAACTGCATACCACCATAGTGCCCTGTATGAGTCGTCCAGCATCATCGCTCTCTGGACTAGGAACTCAAGGTGCTTTACCCACTCTGTTAAGGGTTGCTCTCCCAGGAAATGCATTCGTATTGCTACGCACATCGTCGCGCCGATGCTGTGATACCTCAAGGGACTCCTGCCATTGTTCTCGCATAATAAATTCTCCATAGCCCAGTTCCTCCTCGGCTGACACAGGGCCACACTCCACCAGTGTGCCTTGTAACCTCCACGGGAACTCCTCCATGTATGGGTTTGCTGCATGGGAGCTCGCTTTCTCCATACTGCTGAAAACAGGGGCGCTGTACAAATACTAGCGTTGCCCTCAATATAATTCACACATTACCGATGTCTCCGAGCTGCTTCTCCTCATACTAGGACACCATCCCACCGCTTGCCACCAATGTAACGGAGCTTCCTGTACCCCGGTTGGATACCTCCGCCGACAGATGCTCCTAGTGCTTCCCAAGGGCTCCAAGCATTCCACTTGACACCATAAGCACTGCAGACCCCATGAACCACAACAGCTTGGTTGGGGTTTCACCATCTCCTACCCACCCTGGACCTATGACAAGGCTCCAGGTTCCAGTGGGTGAACCTCTCTTTCCCCAGAGAAAGAAGCAGGAACAAGCTCTTAAAGAACTTAGTGATTATTCAAGGGAGTATGAAGAGCATAGCAATCCTTGTAGCAGATTCCCCCAATAAGAGACAGGACTCTAGATTGAGGGTGAAGTAGAACTGCATGTTTAATGGTGGGGCACAGGACATGTAATTGACAATCCAATAAAAAGTGAGTTTTACACTTGAACACTCCCAGTTACTTTACACAAACCCTCCCCTCTGCCTGTGATACAATTAACAAAGACAATGGACTAACTCAATTACCCACAAACAGAAAAAAACATATATTTTTACAAACCCCCAAAGGTACCCCAAAATACAACATATTCTCACAAACTCACATCCCCTGATAGCCCCGATCTGGGTGAAGAACATCTCCAAAAATCACCCAGATCGGTTAAGGGGTTCAGGAATTTCCTGGAAGTCTTATTTTTGCCCCACTGTGCACATGGTCCCATGCCCAAAATGGTTCCATACACTCAACGACAAAACACTGCTGGACAAATTAAGATGGCCTCTGCCGTCACATGTTTGAATCTGTTCCAGTTAAAAAGTCCAAGGGGCAGAAACAGTACTTTTGAACATGGGTTATCACAGGGCCCAAAGTCCCAGGATAGGAGGCTGGCAAGCAGGCCCCTCCAAAAACTCATGGCAAACACCCTTAAAAAGGGGAGTTTGTCACAACTAGCCTCTGGGAGAATGTACAGGGCCATTATCGCTTGAGTAAATGCTGGAGGGAATCCACATTTTTTGAGAACAGATTTCATATAAAGCCAATTGAGATTATCAAATGCTTTTTCTGCATCTAAAGCCAGTAATAAGCCCTCTTTGGACTTGGCATTAAGATGGTCTATCACATTTAATAAGGGTCTGGAGTTATCTGAGCCTTGTCGCCCTTGGATAAATCCCAATTGGTTGTAATAAATTAGGTTAGGGAGCAGGTCTTTCATTCTGAGTGCCAGAATTTGGTGGTGTATATCCTCTGCAGAGATTGGCTGAATTAGTATGGAAATTTTTGATTTGGGTATAGATCTTAATGGAATTTCTTTTAGAAAATCTTGTATTCGTTGTTTCGTTGGTTGTGCCGTGTGAGGTTCATCTTTGAGGTTATAGAGTTTGTGATAGAATTGGTCAAACTCTTGTACAATTAGGTCGGGATTAACTATTTTTTATTTTAGTAGCTAGGGTTCTCTTTTAAGCCTGGCTGCTAGACATTTCCCTGCCTTATTCCATTGCTCAAAAAAAATTGGATTTGAGTCTCCTCAACAAAATTTTTTTTTGGCTAGTTCTAATTCTTGCTATTGGGTTCTAATATCCTTAATCTCTAGGAGATGTTTAGCTCAGGATGTTTAATTCAGTTTTGTTCAGCATGTTTAATTCAATAAGTTGTTTAGTGAGATTTAAATATTTGGTGAGACGCTCTTTCTTAACTCTACTAGCATGTTTAGCCCCCTCTAATATATGCCTTGTGTGCCAGCCACATGTTTTCTACATTCTGTAAGTAGGTGTTCGTTAAGCCACCGTGAGCCCTTGCCCTTAGCAGGGAAGTGTTCGTTTTAAGTGGAGTATTATTGGGGCATGGTCTGACCACATCATGGTGTCTATTGCAGTGTTGACCACATTGCTTAGTATGGAGGTAGGTATAAGGAACCGGTCAATCCACGAGTACGAGTTGTGTACAAGGGAGTGGAATGAGACGTCTCTTTCTTGGGGTAGTGTGACCCTCCATGGGTCCGTAAACCCTTGCCCTAACAGGATTTGGTTAATACGTCTTACTATTGTTGCTCTGCTGGTCTCTCTAAATAATCTAAAGTTAGTTCACCCAGTAAGGAAATTGAGAAGTAAAACGGACAGAAAAATAAAACATATATAAACCAATAAGAACATATATACAATCGCCCAAGTTCAGTGGAAAGCTGGTGTTGGTTTCCACCAAATAGGCATGTCACAGAAGTGGCGTCTGTCATAGATACCACAGTGGCTTTAGAAGGGCCTTGGGGGCTGGGATGACAGAGATCATCATAATGCATAAAATATATATCCGTCGGTAGTCGCTGCATTTAACTTCAGCTTAATAAATAAATATGTACATTAGCTGTGTTTTAAAAGAAAAAACATGGTCAGATGTGGCTAAACTGATACTGGCCTGCTTGTTGTGACCTGAGCTGAGTCTCCTGATCAGACAAGCCCCTGTCTATTGTAAGTGGTGAAGGGTGTCAGGAAAGGGGCAGAGGAAGACGCCCCGGTCCTTGAACTGAATATGTATCCTATATAAACGTGTTCACCTTTTTTTTTTTGTTCTGTTATGTTTTATAATTA